GCCACGCTACTGGAGGTTACACAGGATGTCAATGACGTACACAGAGCATACTATAACTTTACCTGCAGTGAACAGTTCTATATCGCAGCTTCACATTCGACATGTACAGATTCAACATGGTCATATGTTACGGGATGTAAAGGTTGGTTGTTTACCATATTCTGTGTACCCGATCACCCGATCTCTTGGTATTAGAACTTCTCGGTAACAAAAAACCAAAGTCTGTTCAAATTGAGTCTACAGGGGAGCTGCAATGACTCGCTATCTTTAGTTTATGTTATGAAGTAGGCATAATTCAGGGGAGGTTTGTTTAGGGGCATAATCTTCACAATGTCAAGCTATTACGAACTGCGTCTAATATCTTGACTTAATTTGGGATCCTTCCATGTTACGTGGACAAGAGGGATTTGATTGTAGTCCTCGGCATAAAGAAATATTGGCCAATCAAACCAATAGCTCGATATGCCCCTTTGATCGCAAACCAAAACAAAAAGAAAGCAGTAGGTCATTAAATGATTGACATGGGCGATACTGAATTGAGAAAGGTTTACAGTACAGAATTGAAACAGACAGAAAATCAAAGCAATACTTAGGAATATTAAATGGCTGGAAAGAATGAGTACTTATCTCTTCAAACAGGACGTGTCGGCGAATCGATCTGTGTTTTGTTTCCATGACCCAAAATCGTGATGTGATTGGTTAGATTTGAATAACGTTAATCAAATTTCTACGCCCACGAAACGAAGACCATACCAAAACCAATATTCGGAATACAACGAAATCGTTGAAACTAGAGGGTTCGGAAAGTATCTGCACAAATAGTTCCTGTAATACAAAATGTATTTATTAAAGGGACAGATGTGCTATTTGAGTCTTGAATATATGTAAATAGTCTTCAGAAGTACTAGAAGTGTACGAAAGTCATAAAAATTCATTTAAAAATACTTCAAACTGGGAATTTTACTCACTATTTCTTTATATGTCTTTTATACATATCACAGGGTATCTAAAGTTGAAGAGTCGTCATTTTGACATTCAAACTGATTTGCTGATTCGCTCAGCTAAAAAAAATCCATTCTGAGACTAAAGTATGATTGGTCAAAAAAATGTCAAATATTACAACTCATTGATACATGTCAAGTCAATTTAAGGAGATTTTAAATTTTATTTTCCATAGACATTCCACATAAAATCTTCGTTCTATTGATTTTGGTTTATGGACTAATGTGTTTTGTTTTTGATATGCTTTATTTCTCATCTTCAAACAATTCTCTTTTCAATCAAACAATCTCAATCAGTTCACGCATGCAGGCTCAATCTAATTTTAATTTTTATGTCGCTATACATCTCTTATAGTTCCCTAATATGTTTTGTTATAAATCACCATTTATTTATATCAATCATTTCTTTATCACTATCGGCATCATCATATCAACATTCAAACGCGCCACCGTGAAAGTTCTGCAAGCGCCTTGATTCAGTTTTACGGAAACTGCCGAAGATTGCCGAATGATCATATTATCATGTTTTCACACCTTTATCTATATTATGGAAGCCGACTGCGGCCATTCTTACTTTCAACTTTGACGAGAACCCGATAAGGCGAGAAAAAATATCGAAGAATAGAAAGGAATAAGAACGAGAAATCTTGAAATTGAGACGAAAAAGAATGAGTTCCTCGCCCCTTTCTTCTTTTCTCCTCGCTTTCTCGACTCCGCCTTATTCCTCGCTTTTTCTGTGTTCTGCTTCTATAACACATTGTTCCATTTCATATTCCTGTTTAATTATTTAGTAGTCACCATTTGTTATATAGAAAGTGTACATTGTGATCTTTATAATTTTACTGGATGTGCTATCAATCGAACAAAACCAAGCTAACGGATCAGTCATAGTATCATTCGGCTAATCTTTGTAGTTTCTGTAAAGCTGCAAGTACCTCGGCTAGATATTAACAAACGGTCTACCTTGAAAGTTTTACAAACGTTCTGCTCTACGGAAATTCCGAGGATTGCCGAATAAGAGATTAATTGAAAAAATGCTTGTTTGTAATTCAGAATTTTACCAATGACCAATATGGCTCTTCAAATGTTGTAACCTTTTATTATTGACAAAGTAACAAAAGCACAGGCACAGGACTAAATAATAAAAATGTGTGTTAATGAATTAATGTTCGTAAATCCGGGTTCTGTACACTTTAAATGTAGATAATTTGCAATTAACAGAAGAGACAAATCCCCTTGGGATCTTGAGGGTGATAGTTTTATCTGACGGTCACTGTATGATGATAACTTAATGTTATATATTTGTTAACTCGAGGGTTTTCAATCTTTTTGTTTCTATAGCGCCCTTTTTAGCGTTCAAATCCATGTGTGTCGAAATTACATTGTGACATATTGTAAGCCAATGGGGGGGCACCTGTCGAATGCTGTTGGCGAACGTTTGTCAGGACAGCCCACTTCCTGCAAACTCCATGTTCCCGAACTTCTGAGTTCTTAGAGTCGAGACATCAGATAGACCATGAGCTAAATCATAATAATACATCAGTTTCTGATATTCCTTAAACCATTCGCTACTCATTTAGGCCTAGCCTCAGCTAACCGTGCTCATTCATCGTCGATGCCTCGATCTTAGGGTTTCTCTTCGTGGTCCAAGATTGTCGTATTATGTGCTTTTTAAGATATATTTCTTGCCAAGGAACACCAAACCCGCTTCCAACAGGGACAGTGTACCACATCCCGCAAGTTTACACCCCCTTTTAAGTTAGGTTATTATATAATACATCGATGTTTTCCTGGTACGAGATTCTGTTTATTAGACCAGGGTAGACTTACCAACGGGTAGCCCATGGTCCTTACTATCATGGAATCAAATTATATTTACATATTATTTACAAGGCTGGCTTGGTCAGGTGTGGTGGGAGCTCACGTAACGCTACGGTTCAACGATAGGCAAACTACTACATGTTGAATCTACTACTGGGCTTGGAATTACCGGTACTGCTTCTGCTAGGACTAGGCCTACAGAACTAGAAGAAGCGCCGATGGAGTGCCCTGAAGCATCCTCTAGCTTCGATGACCTCATAACGGGCCTTCCTTCCTTTAAAGTTGCATTATCGTACCTTAGCCGTAAGAATTCGATTTATCTGAGATAAGTTCAAGCTTCCTAAGCCAACGTTAACGAATCAACGCCTAAACGTAAACTGCCATCTTGGAAGATCTCAGTCATATTTATAACCAGTAGTAGCCAATGAGCGATTGCGCTTTTTACCACATGACGTTATTGACCAATGAATGATTGCGCTTTTTCCGACGCGAAATTAAGAACCAATGAATGATTGCGCTTTTTCCGACTCGAAATTAAGAACCAATGAATGATTGCGCTTTTTCCGACTCGAAATTAAGAACCAATGAATGGTTGCGCTTTTCTGACCTTCATTACGTCACTCGCGACCTAGCCGAGGACCAAGCTTTACAACAACAAATAAATAAACTAGAGCCACTCGTGGCACAGAGTGGGACTTTGCAAATGTAGCAAATTGCAAAAGACCCCGAAAAAATCATCCTTCCACGATAATTAGATCAAGCGCAAGAACAGTCTAAAGTTGAGAAATTTTCATTTTTTAGAAGATTCTAATACCGGAAGTAGACGTCAGACCTCACAAATGAAAGTATCAGCAGATAGCCAAAGTCAATGACCTTTGATCTTGTAAAAGAGAAAGTCTAAAAAGGTCAAGATCAAGAGATATACGTCATCAAAATTTCTAATTGCACACGACTATAAAACCGGAAGTTGACATAGGACGGCAAATATAAAAGTATAAATAGATAGCCAATGCCAATGACGTTTGATGTTAGAAAGGTCAAGGTCAACAAAGGTCAAGGTCAAAAAGTGGCTCACAATATGAGGTAATTGTATGCAAAGTTCCATTTTGAACAAATGGATACTTTGCGAGTTATGCCCCTGGCCAAAAATGTCAATAATGAGTAATTAAACCCGGAAGTGCCACGCCCAACTCAATTTTTTTTAATAAGTTAATCAATATTCAAAATGTTACGTTATGTTCCAAATGTCAAGTCCCTACATACTAGAGGTCAAAAGATATAGGTCAACAAAAGTCAACAAAGGTCAAAATCGAAAAATGAAAATATCCAAATGTTAAAACCTGTTCCTTTTTTGAAACTATAAAGCTGAAACAACTGAGCTGTTAATACATACTGGCCAAAAGGATGAGGTAATTGTGTGCAAAGTCTCTTTTTGAACAAACGCATCCTATGTGAGTTATGCCCCAGCCCCAAAATGTAAACAATTAGTAATTCAACCCGGATGTGCCACGCCCACATAAGTTTTTTTGTCATAGGTGAATTCATATTCAAAGTGTCTAATTATATTCCAAATATCAAGGTTCTACATCAAATATATCATAACATATACATACACTAAGCTCAAAAAGTCGCAAATATTGTAAAAAAAAAAACTCAAATTTGAAAAAATCACGAATTGCTTTAAAAAAACGATTGTTATATATTAGGAAACCGAAAAAATTTACTCTCTAGGTTAATTAGGTCACGTGCTAGAGCAGTCCAAAGTTGCGAATTTGGATGTTTTTGGACAGCTATAAAAGCGAAAGTAGACGTCAGTGGTCAAATATGAGAGCATAAACTAATAGACAACGTCAATGACCTTTGACCCAATAAAGGTCAAGGTCAT